TTATTGCAATCAATGTGTGAAATTAAATGAAACTTATGAGTTATTTTGTGCAACTGCTTTAATGTCGCAGCACAAGAAGTGTTATCGAGTGTCACAGGAAGTATTGCTCACTTGGTGCAACTGGATGAGTTAAAATTCTGCTGGAGAAAAAAAAGATTAACTTGTTTTATTTGCTATTCTCATGGGAACTTTAGGAACGTTTAAATTAGGAAGCTTTTGTGTTATGATTTTTCTGATAGTTGACTTTGAAGTTAATTTTTGGTGTTTTAGCTTACCTCAAGGGCATCCAAGATGTAGGTGTCTTTGTTTTTCCGCAGTAGTTTAAATTTTGATATTTTTAGGTCAAACCGTTCTTGTCTGTCAGGCATATAATGGAGGTCTATGGTCACCACCTCAAAGAGCATGCACAGAGAAGTCCAAATTAAACATGATTCAATAACTTGTAAATGTAAGTACACATTGATGGCCTAAGACACGAAACGAGCGGTTTGTGTGAGAAAACGAACAGTATTTATATAGTTTTTACCTCTTGTAACCACAGCCACGTCTAAGTGATCTGAGGGCACGGGCGCTTCGGTCTGCGCAAGCGGCGGAGGTGATCTCTCGCACGATTGTGAAAAAAATTCAACATTTTTTTGTTGATATATCAAAATCGTCTTCCTTTGCGATTTCCTGTATATCTAAATATGTTTAGATCTTCACAGTGAAGGGTAACACTTCCAAAATCTCTGTGTAAACAATGAGTGACGTACACGCGTGAGAGATCACTTCCGGTGCTTGCACAGACCGAAGCGTCCGCGCCTTCAGATCACTTGGACGTGGCTGTGGTTACAAGAGGTAAAAACGATATAAATACTGTCCATTTTCTCACACAAACCACTCCTTTCGGGTCTTAGGCCATCAATGTGTACTTATATTTACGAGCAATTAAATCATGTTTAATTTGGACTTCTCTGTGCATGCTCTTTGAGGTGGTGACCATAGACCTCCATGATATGACTGACAGACAAGAACGGTTTGACCTAAAAATATCAAAATTGAAACTACTGCGGAAACAGAGACACCTACATCGTGGATGGCCTTGAGGTAAGCTAAAACACCAAAAATTAATTTCAAAGTGAACTATCCCTTTAATTGTGATCCAAACCAACAAGCACAGCAGGATTGGATAAATGCATTTTTTTTTAGTCCAAACACATTTTGTGGTTCAGCCCAATTTACCGAGACAACCACTTTGCACAAGACTGTGCAACTGTGTAAGACACTTTTTTTTTTACTCAACACAACTTAAAGCTTTAATAATTGATACAATGATTTATATTCATTTAAATGCATGGCAACTTTATTTTAAGTTCACTCGATACATTAAAGTAGATCAATTCAACTCTAAAAATGCCAAACACATAATTTTTGGTTAGTTTTCGACATCTTACAGGTCACCAGATAAGAAAATACACAAATAAGCAAAATTGCCCACAACTGCGTAAAACGCTCCCACATTTGGCTGGTGGCGGTTGTTAATTTCACACCAAGATACCATGTTTTCAGATCAGCACTTTCTCTCATGCTTGCTTTAATTTGTTTGTTCATTTTAACTTGGTGTTGGACAGAGCATTTCCTCACAGATACGGGCTGCTGGATGCATTTAGACATGCACACATGGGACTGATTGCGAGTCCTGCATTAAAAAAAAGGACATTTATCAGTATAGGGCAGCGTTTGTATAATATGTGACAGGATGTGACAGATGTTTAGTAGTGGCAACACTGCCACACCAGCTACGGCCCATTTCCTGTGAGTTACTGCAGAAATGAGACCTGTTTCATTTGCCACTTTGAGTGTTATTTGCTTTACGTTCTCCAAAAATCACAGTTTACAGCAATGATGGAGGCACGAGTCTGCACAGTTATCCATCTAAACATCTGAGAAACAAACAAAAAAATAGACATATATTTATATATAAAAAGCAACTTGTTGACTAAATGTATATAATGCTAGTGGTTATTTGATTGTGTTGTCCTGAAGACAGAGTAGGCTCGTTTTATTTATTTGGATTGAAATGAACAAAAATTATAAATCAAATCTCTTCTTTGGATTGGTTGACATTGACAATATAAGACCTTGTAGATAAAGGATGTCAAGCTTGTTGCATGTCTCTCGTGTGTTAAAAATAACGATTCTCCGCAAAAAAAAAACATGCAACCTCACACAAACCAGCCGCATGTTGTATGTATGGGTTTGGAGATCCCCTGACGGCACGTCTTGAGCGGATGCAAAAAAAAAAAAACACCATTAATACAAAAAATAATGTGTTGCAGATGAAATTGAAATTCTGTTTTGAATGTTCTTGCGTCTTCTTGGATTTTGTAGTTCATTGCATGAAATTAGCTGTCCATTTTTCTGCTTAAAGCGTAAAAGTCCCACAAATGGTCAGCAAAAAGGTGCATATTTTTGCAATGATCATGCAATTGAAGAACGTCCCAAGAAATGCTGTTTGTGCCGGTTTATTAACTAGCCTATATATAATATAATCTGAATTTCAGACCAAAGTGATTAACAAGGCTTTTTTTTCTCTTTGCAACACTGTTCTCTTTGCACACATTGTTTCTTCATTTTTTTTAAATTTTTCTACGTCATAACGTAGGATGAATTCAGGTTCATTGGCACTTTTACCTTTAAGATGACGAAAAATTGTCTGAATTCACCCTAAATTTTACCTAAAAATATATTTTCCACATTCACTGGAATGCCCTTTACCTTCAGCTAAATTTTGTCCCATAGCAAGTGCATTTCATTATGAGAATAAGCATCTTTCAGCTGTTTAAATGTATAAAAACATGCAGTGTGCATAATGTGAAATGTATTTTCTCTCATAACTCACTTAACAAACAGAGGTTAATGCGAAGTGTGTTTATTTATATTATCATGATGATATGTTCGATTACTCTGACTCTCTAAATGTTCCTGTCACGATGTAAAGCTTTATTTATCTCAGAATACTGTGTGAATGTACTGTAATATAACTGTGAACTAGGTTAGACGTAAGAGCAACTGTACTATTTATTACATAATTTATTTCCGAATGAAACTGAATTAGCGGTGGTGACGGCAATATGCCAGCACTAATAATGCACTGTACAGTTTACAGATAGGAACTAGGGAAAGGTGTCAATCTGAAAGGAAATATATTTCTAAAGAAAACAGCCAAACTCTAAAGTTAGAGTCGCACTTCCAAACCGCAAGAGGCCGCTTACACTGAAATTGTGGTAAAATTAAATTCTAGTGCAATAAATTATTCACAAATCAAAAGAAGTGGTCTTTAAGTGATGTTTATTTCTTTTATAGTACAAGCAGTATTTCACACACAAAATAAATCATTTATTAATGCTAAAGTATGGAAAGTAAATAATAAAAGTTGATTTGTCTTAGCGGAAACAATGTGTCTCCGAAACAAACCCCGGTCCAAAACGTATAACATGTTAGCCAACATTCTAGATCGGAAATGTTGCGCATTTACCACACTGACATTTACACGCTTAGCCAATCCAACAATCATATAGTATACATAACCACACTCTTAGAAGAAAGGGTTCTGTCACTTCATATATAGTGGTTACCAACATGGGGATCAATTTATAGATTTTAATAATTTCATTTTTAATTTTGATCAAATTTCATCAGTTAAGCAGATTGTAAATATATTTTTATCACTAAAAACCTACGTATTTGGAACCCCTAAAAGGTTCTATACAGAACCCTTTTTAAGAGTTCAATAATAAGTTCTTTGTAACCAGGAAAAAGGTTCTATATGGAACCTTTTGGGTTCATTCATTATTATATGTTTTGTAAATATTCCGGATTAAATATTTCATATTATTGACAAACATCAATGTATATATGAATGAATGTGAATGATCACAAAATATATGATATCAAGATATGGGGGTTAGAAAATGTATATACATTTAAATCATTTTATGTTGTTAATCAATATCACACGAAGAGTGCCATTTCAGTTTATCTCCTCCAAAAATCAGCATGATTAAAATGTGATATTAAGTTACTACAACAGTTTAATAGACTATTTAATTGCAGAATAATGTAATATATGAATGAATAACAGCCATTGTCATTATAGAACCTTTTTTATCATAAAAGGTTCTTTGGAGTTGAGTAAAGAACCCTATGCTTCATATATACTGTAGAACCCCATCGAACACTTATTTCTTAGAGTGTGTGCACGCAGAAAAAACATTCAGTGAATTTTTTGCATTGAATGCTAATGAAACACATCTGATACTAAAACATATACTTACATCGTGAAAGTTTTGTTGATAAGACGTTTGAAATTAGCGGTAGGAATTATGTAATATAATTAAGTTGTATAATTCCCACTGTCCACTGAGAAAACTCTTATCAGGGCAGGACGGCAGTTGCTCCGGCTCCACTATATACACAGATATCCACACACTCCTGTTTACAGTAATGGAGCTCCGAAGAAATGTCTCATCCCAAACTATCCGTGAACTCCGAGAGGATTGTAATGAGTGGGGTATTTCCTTTACACACACACACACACACACACGCAGTCTCCCTGTGTTCCTCCCCTCTTTTGTTTCTCCTGTTAGCCTCAGGAAAGTCACGTCCATTGATTCACTTAACAGCTCACACACTCTAGTTGCCATTCTTTATTTGTCTTGCACTATGTTTTATCTCTCTGGACTACTTTTGCTGTTGCTGGATTCATCTATGATCTGTGGTAGGAGATCTTCAGTCTAAGAGATAACCCATGAGTTTACTTACATCTGAAAGTGATGCCATCACTTTTTGACATTCAAGATGTTATCCAGGAGACATGAAACCACATTACAAACCTTTCTTTTAACCGTTTGACGTATGAGCTACCAAACTATCAAGAAGAGATTTATCATAAGAAAGTGTGTTAACGAATGTCTAGCAACATGGATGATCATTAAAATGTTGATTTCTATATTTTTCAGGACAAATGACACAAGATGACAGAACAGCTTCTGAAGGTAAGCAACTCAATTTCTCAGTTATTTCTCCTAAATAGAGACCTTTGCTTACAGTAAATCTCCCTTACTCTTCTCAAAAATCTCAATGTTTCAAATCAGGTGTGATATCTCAGTGTGAACTCAAACATTTCTTTTGTAATGCATGTAAATATCTCTTTTTAAAAAATATTTTTAGGATGAGACAAAGATTATAATGTAATGATGAGCTATGAAAAACGAACATCTGAGCAATACGATATTTCTTTCTGATTATAATTCGGACGTAATCCATAAGATGTAAATGGCACTCAACAGTGGCTCTTGGTGCACTAACAATCTAAAGTTATTTTAAGTTCAATAAATTAAACTTAAGTTTCTGTCAAAAAGATTTTCAAGATTCTCAAAGATGGATTTTTAATTGAATACAGTCAAAATGGAACTTATTATTTTTATATAAAATCATTTGTAATTACATTTTTTCTTTTGTCAAGTCAACTTAGATAATTAATGTAGTTCAGATAACATAATATTTTGAGTTTTAGCGATTCAATTAATCTCCTTTATTGTATTAACTCAAATTTTCCAATTCAATTAACTTTTTAGACAACCAGGTTATTTTTTTTAAGTTAAACCAACACATTTTTTAAACACTTTTATCCATTATTCACCCTATATTAAAATGCATGCATTATAGAATTATATCCTTAATGTTCTTTTTTCTCCATGCAGATAAGAGTCCCACAGTCCAAACTGAGAATACACAGAAAGAGCTAAATGTGTCTTTAAGCAAGGGTACGTAACATCCGCATTATTTACACCTGCATCATCTCATCCCGAGCACATTCATAATCGCATTTATCCCTCTTTCAGAGACACACAATGTCACGTATGAGGACAACGGTAAGAGAGTTTTGTTATGCTTTGGGGATGTGAGCTATTAGACTTTAAAGATCGTTTGTGTCACTATTAAATGAATCTCCTGTGACTCAGAGGATTTTCAGGATCAAGACTCTTACTACAGTCGCTGTAATGAGGAGCTGTTGAAGTTTTATACGGAGGAAGAGTGCTGTGTGACGTTCAATAACAACATGAGTGCACTTGGAAAAGAGAACTGGTGTAAAATGGAGATGGTGTTAAGGTAAGCCAGAGCTTATTCACCTGTGACGTCACTTAAAATGACAAACCATACAACATATTTCTATATAAACTGATATTTCAAAACCAAAGGAGCTGCAATTCTGATGCAATGATGCTTTGTTGATTTATTAAGCAAGGATTTGATCTGTTTACCGTCACTCTTAGAAGAAAAGGTTCTATATAGAACCTTAAAAGGTTCTATCAGTGCCCCTAAAAGGTTCTATACACTCTTAAAAAATGGTTCCTCTGGGTTGTATATAGAACCCTGGGGTTCCGTACTTGGCCAATAGAACCTTTTACCAAAAAAAATGGTTCTATATAGAACCATTTTGGAGTTCCATATATGAAGCGGGGGATGGAACCATTTCTGGTTCTAAATAGAACCATTTCTTCTAAGAGTGTGCTTTTGTAAAAAAATTGTCTCCATACATTTTCAAATGCTTTTTTAATGTTGATATGAAAACCATCACATTTAATCTTTTTAATTCGGCTTCGTTTTGAATGTGCAACACACACGTTTCTATACAGTGCTTATCTTTTGCACACGCGCTACCGAGAAATGTGAAATGCATAGCTATGGCATATACACAAAGAAAGGAAATGGTCAGAGAAACAATTGAAGGATGTGTGGAGAAGAGCTGAGCTAATCTTGAAACCTGATTGCTAACTATGAGACTGAGAGACCTTCTGGTCCATTAAACAATGAGAGACATTTCCGTTTTCTTGGTAAACATAGATAAGAGTGTGTTTTTGTTGTGAACCAGAGTGATTTGACTAATTTGTGCCACTTAAGCACTTTAAAAAGAGTGCTTCCTTTAGCGTGTTGTAATTTAGTGCAAAATTGTAATCTTCAATACCGTATAAAAAAGCTTAGGGTCAGTAAAGACTTTAATACTCACCGAAAATGCATGCATTTAATCAAAAACACAGAAAAACAGTAATATTGTGAGATAGTATTTCAACTTAAGATTAAAGCTGAATTTTCAGCATCATTACTCCAGTCTTCATTGTCGCATGATCCTTCAGAAATCACTCTAATATGCTGATTTGCTGCTCAAGATCTAAATTTCGTATTATTATTATCAATGTTAAAAAATAGTTGTGCTGCTTCATATTTATGGGAAACGCATGACACATTTTTTTCAGGATTCTTTGATGAAAAGAAAGTTCAAAAGAACATTATTTGAAATGTGTCACATTTGAACAATTCAATGCATTTTGTTTGTTTTTGTACAGTAAACCTATTTTCTCTGTCACACAACTCACTTTGTATCTCTTTCTCCTACTTCCAGAAGCTACAACAAGCTAACTGAGTGTTTGGAGGTGATATCCAGTGTTTTAGGATGCTTCTATCCGAATCGTGTGGTGGAGCAGCTGTTCGTCAGGATACATCAGCAGTACTTCAGCATTTGTAGCGATGAAGGGGATTTATCCGATGCACCGGCTGGAGTCGTGCTCGTAGGCACACTGCTGCCCATCCTCCTCATACCCCTCATAGTGTACATTGTGGTCTGGAAGAGTAGTTTAAGGGACTGACTTAAGCATTGAGTTAAAGTGATCTTTCACTCAAAAATAAAAATGCTGTCATCACTTGCTCACCCTTATGTCATTCCAAACCTGTATGGATTTCATTCTTCTAAAGAAGATATTTAGAAGATTTATATATTATATATATATTATATATAGAATATTTATATATTATATATAAAATTGTTGTCTGAATATTCTTACAACATAACATTCTTCAAAATATTTTCATGTGTTTTGAAGCAGAAAAAAATCATACATGATTGAAACAACATGAGGGTGAATGATGACCCCAGGTTTCAGTTTTTGGGTGCACTGTCCCTTTTTAATTCAACTCTCAAGTGTACAAAGTTCATGTACTTCATGATGTAATTATTGTAAATAAAAGAGACTCAGTGGGTGTGTGATTTTCTGCACACTTTATGCCTAAGAGTCTGATTTATGATCATGATATAAATATATTGTGACTCTGAACTATTCATTCTGAAATACTCAATGTGCAACTTGGTTACAACTGTAAACCTAAAAAAAAAAACATTAAACAAAATACTGGGGGACACTTTTCTCATTATGAAGCTTGTGTTTAATGCATTATAATGGTATTAGTACTACATTACAATGCATGCATAGGCACAATATGTCATTATTCTCATCATATATAGATATATAAAATGCTGGGTTGTTTTAACCCAGATTTGGGTCAAATAAGGACAAAACCAATTGTTAAATTTATAAATTGCCTTTTTTAATTCAACAATTGATTTTGTCCTTATTTGACCCAAATCTGGGTTAAAACAACCCAGCATTTTATATATATATATATATATATATATATATATATATATATACAATCATAATATAATTATATAAATAAATATATCTTAATATAAAACAACAAAAAATCATATCTTTTTCACATTGAGGTAAGTTTACCTTAAGTTTAATGCTTTAAAAAGAGATCTAGCCTGTTTAACTAAAAGCAAACAAGCAGCACTTCTAAATGAGTAAGCACATTATAAAGCCTTTTACAAAGATTGTATTTGTCGCTTTAAGCAGTAAAAAAAATGAAGTAAGATACTGTGCAGATCTTAAGCAATGCAAATATGTATCTTAAGAATTTCACTCATTACGGCACGTGTTGTTAGTGATGTGACAATAAAGGTTTCATTCATTAATTTATTAAGTATACAAGCATTATAATGCTTATAACAGCCTTACAATGCATTATAAATACAGACTTCATAGAAAGTGTTATTATTGTTCATCAAATATTATTTATGTTCATTAATGCTTCACTCAAGTTTTGATTTCTTTCTCCTGCACAGACACAAACACAAATAGCGTATTGTAAGGATCACAGCTCCCCCTACTGTCAGCACCACTGCTAGCAGAAAGGCCATGACGTCTAAAGAGTGATATGAGTACCAGGGCATCTTATAAGACTCGGTCCGTAAATGTGCCGCTCCCTTGTGCCGCATTACATACTCTATCCAATAGAGGGCGCTATCCTGAGGTTGTGTGGGCTTGTCTTTGTGTAACCTAGAGAGTCGCTGCATGTTCTCCCTGTATGACGGCTGATGTAAAACTTCCTGCACTGCCGCCATAAAGCTCTGGCTGTCCAGTTTGGTAGCGTCGAGTACTTTAGCGGCCCCTCGTACCTGGAGACGCAGCATGTTCTCGAACTGGTCAAAAAGCAAGGGAATCCCAACCACTGGAACGCCATGGTAGATAGACTCATAAATGCCATTCGTTCCACCGTGAGCAACAAATGCACGCGTTTTAGGGTGACCAAGTAAATCGTTCTGAGGAAACCAATTAACCAGAAGAGTGTTGTTGCCCAGATTATGAGGACGTTCTCCTATGTGCCTCCATATGACTCGCTGGGGAAGCTGAGCAAATCCGGCAGCGATTTTAGACGTGATTTCACTAGGGAGAGCTTTCACGAGCGTACCCAGTGACATTACGACCACCCCGTGTTCACCTGAACCGTTCACAAACTCCTCCAGGTCTGGCGGTAATGGTTTGGAGGGTTTGCACTGGAAGCCTCCGATGTAGACGACGTTGGGCATGGTTGGACGCGGGAACTCGAAGATGAAATCCGACCTCATGAGCCAAATATCCGCACCTTGCAGCAAGTGGTAGAAATCAGTTTCCGGTCCAAAGTAGCGTGCGGCTACTTTGTCATACTCTGGTCTGACAACGAAGTGGTCGATGTACATGTTCAGCACATAATGGAAGATATTCTTGACCCTCTCCCCGAAGGACATGTGGTTCGATAGGTTGCTCCCTGAAGCAGGGACGTATGAAACCGGAGAAGGTGCGACAACAAAGTGCCCTTCTCCACTCGTGATCCATCTCACGTTGTACACCATGGGTAATCCGAGTTTATGAGCCACCAGCACACCCGTAGGCAGACCCGGGTCGGCAAGGACAACGTCGTAACGTTCTTCGTACAGCTGTTTCATCAGCGCAGGGTTTTCGAAAATCTCCACAACCAGCTGACTTGCCTGCCGATGCATGTTGTAGAGACCCGACAGCATCTGCCTGTAGAACTGCACGAATGCAAGCGGGGATGCTCCACGTTCCTGTATCTTGAGCATTTCACTCAGGAACGAGATGAAGAAATCTTGCTGCTCGATGCTAATGGGCTCCGGGAGGGTCACGGTTATGGACGTGTAGTGCGGGGAATCCTCCTTGACGTACCAGCTGCTGGCGGTTCGCACCACGGTGACCTCGTGACCGCTGGAGTGGAGGACGTCAATCAGTATGTTCATGTTGACCCAGTGGCTTCCGTCTACTGGGAAAACGAGGATCTTTCCAGCCAGAGCGGAGGGAAGATCGGTGGCGAATAGTACGGATAGAGCCAGAAGACAGTGTGAAGCTTTGAGGACCTTCATTGCTCCCTAGTGCACATAAAAACACTAATGTTTACTAGACAGATTTAAAGGGCAAGTTCACCAAATATGAAAATTCTGTCATTAAATACCCATCCTCATGTTGTTTGATCAAATCTAAGAGCTTTCTGTCAGACTGAATTTAGGCTTTTGTTCACATTTAAACATTGATCAGCAAACATACACAGAAGCTCAACCGAACCTGCTTTACGTGCGTGAACAGACAAACGTGATGCGTAACATGAAAATGAACCTCATTGGTTCTTGCTGAAGCTCAAACGTGATGCGTAACATGAGAACGAACCTCATTGGTTCTTGCTGAAGTTCAAACGTGATGCGTAACATGAGAACGAACCTCATTGGTTCTTGCTGAAGTTCAAACGTGATGCGTAACACGAGAATGAACCTCATTGGTTCTTGCTGAAGTTCAAACGTGATGCGTAACATGAGAATGAACCTCATTGGTTCTTGCTGAAGTTCAAACGTGATGCGTAACACGAGAATGAACCTCATTGGTTCTTGCTGAATTTCAAACATGATGCGTAACACGAGAACGAACCTCATTGGTTCCTGCTGAAGTTCAAACGTGATGCGTAACACGAGAACGAACCTCATTGGTTCTTGCTGAAGGTCAAACGTGATGCGTAACACGAGAACGAACCTCATTGGTTCTTGCTGAAGGTCAAACGTGATGCGTAACACGAGAACGAACCTCATTGGTTCTTGCTGAAGGTTAAACGTGATGCGTAACACGAGAACGAACCTCATTGGTTCTTGCTGAAGGTCAAACGTGATGCGTAACACGAGAACGAACCTCATTGGTTCTTGCTGAAGGTTAAACGTGATGCGTAACACGAGAACGAACCTCATTGGTTCTTGCTGAAGGTTAAACGTGATGCGTAACACGAGAACGAACCTCATTGGTTCTTGCTGAAGGTCAAACGTGATGCGTAACACGAGAACGAACCTCATTGGTTCTTGCTGAAGGTCAAACGTGATGCGTAACACGAGAATGAACCTCATTGGTTCTCGCACGTCAGGCAAACATGCTTCTGTTTACCACAACTATGTGTGCGTTTATGAATGTTCATATGTGAATGAAAGCCTAAATTAAATCTGTTCATCCTAAAAAGTGATTGAGTCTCTTTTTGAACTTTTTTAAGCGTGAAAAAGGTCGTTGCATGGCTGTCAATGGACGGACCGAAACCTCTCAGATTTAATTAAAAAGATCTTCATTTGTGTTCAGAAGATGAACGAAAGTCTTACAGGTTTGGATGACATCAGTGTGTGTAATTAATGACAGAATTTTCATTTTTAGGTGAACTTGCACATTAATATGACACAATTAAACTAATTTCATCAACAGAAACTGTTAGAAATGTTTCTTCACAATCCAACATTATTTGGTAGCACTTTATAACAAGGTTTCATTTGTTTGTATTAGTTAACATGAACTAACAGTGAAAAATGTACTAATAACAATGTTGTATCTGTTAATATTAGCCTATTTAATGAACCCGAGCTAACATAATCTAACAATGAATGGGTTGTTGTTTTTTCATTAACATTAACAAAGATGAATAAATGAAGAGTTCAGATGCAAAAGCCTCTAAATGCCATTTGAAATTTTCTTCTTTAATGATGATTTTTATCAAACTTGTATATTTAAGTTCAGTAATTTCACTTAAACGGCAATGATAATTACCTATTAATTGTTATTTAGGTGAAATTACTGAACTTAAATATACAAGTTTGATAAAAATCATCATTAAAGAAGAAAATTTCAAATGGCATTTAGAGGCTTTTGCATCTGAACTCTTCAAATATTGTAACAAATGTACTGTATTGCTTTTAGTCAATGCATTAACTGACGTTAACTAATGGGACCTTATTTTAAAGTGCACTTTATGAAGAAAACAAAGATTATTGGAGTAGCCTGTATGTTTTACTAAAGATTTCAGTCTTTATACCTAAAAATGTCAATGTGTTACCTGCTGTTTATTTGTAATTATGGAATTTCCTAGCAAAACCTTTGTGAAGAAATCCTACACCAAAGTTTTTTTTTTTTTGTTTTTTTTCCAGTGTGTAACTCATTCCTCTACCCTGGGAAATACTTCATGCTTGAGTGCATGAATAGACACACAAAATTTTTCTAAAACCCTGAGCAGGCCGTGTGATTTAAAGCAGATGTGACTTTTTGCTGAGGTTTTGCAGAAAGTTTGAATGTTGTAAACTGCTATTCCTTCATGAGAAACATGCAAAAGAAATAAAAGTTTTTTTGTTTTGTTTTTTACATTTCAAGACAATTGTGCTGCAACAAAAACTGTACAATCAGATAGTAATATGGTAAAGGGTCTTTTTACTGTTGCATTGAAACTTAATAAAGCTATTTTACCTTCTTCTGTTGCCTTTCCCTCTTCTTTGTGGTTTGTTCAGTCTGGTTCCAAGTCCAGATCAAGCTTTTGAGTTGCATAACAGTGGAGGTAATCCCAGGAAAGTAGGGGTTGTTACAGCAGCAGTGTGTTTGAGTTTGTGTGAAGCGTGTTTCTGTTTCACAGAAACCTCCCTCCCTCCTAAAGCAGAGTAAATGTATTCAAAGAGTTTTCAACACAAAACAAATGCTTTCTCCAGTGTACGTGTCAAGAGTACAAACTGAATCATCT